AATTTATTGACGTTGAAACAAATTTCGAAGTTAAGACGTCTGAGAACGTCGAAGAGCTAGAAACACGTCGCCGCTACGACAATATTGGCGAAGAGCGTGCGCCCGATTTCTACAAGGTGTACCGGCAGGTTGGAGGGGCGAGAGGCGCTGGAAACGAGATCGCGAACGATTGTTCTCGCACGATACACGTCTTCGATATTGTCTCTCGGGCTGGCAATTCGCTCGACGTCGCGATATTTTCGCCGGCGAGCCCTCCTATTTACGGTTCAGCGCGGCAAATTGGCACACGTTTCGAACGCCGACGTAATTGAATCGCGCCGGCTCCGATAAAAATTAATCGACTGACATTTATTTCCACGGGAAGGGGGCCGCGATGATAACGCGAGAATATCGCGGCGCTGTTGCAGAATAGAATTACGGCGCCCAAAAATGGAGGAGTCGCTGCCCGGAGAGCAGATCGATGGGATCGCGTATTTTGTCTCATGATAATGGAATCGTTTAGGCGACCAACCGAGGAATACAGCAACGATTGTTGCACACCGCCTGGCTATTCTGATCGACTCGCCGCCCTCTCGTGGCGGAAGAGCGATACTTTTTTGAACGGGCGACAACTCGCCTGACGAATTACGGACGAGAATATACGACTAAACTTGGATTTTTAACGCAGTATTGCATCGGCGAATGTACTTTTAGCAGCTTGGCCGCCTCGCTTGTGTAAAAGACCGCTCCAACGGACTGCGGTTATTTCGCGGTTATTTTCTGTGGCTATTTTCGAACGCTAAAGAACAGTTCGAATTATCCCTCTCCCGTCGAGTTTATTAATCCCCGAGGGGAATAACTGAGAACGTGTCTCGCTCCTTAAACGAGATAATCGAGTCAAAGGATTCTATGTTAATTCGACGGATCGGCTATAACAGCCCCTTTGATTTGACTCCTGTCGATACACATACATCTGTCTTCTTGATCCATAAGTGACAAGACGATACCGACGTAGCATCACATTTCGATACGATTTGCTATGAAATCACGGTGCAATATTGCAAATACAATACTGATACCGCCGATGTCGGTACCATCGTCGTGGAAGCTGTTGAATAGGTAATCGAAACACAAGCAGATGTACTCGTTGGGCAATAATTGAAGGATCTGGACGCGCGTGGAACAAGGGTGGAACCGAAGCGGCTGAAGCGGGATTAGGCTGGCTGGTTGCCGTGTCACGGGGAAGAGCGACTCGGTGGCGCGAGTTAAGGGATGACGGCGGGTCTCGAGGAGGATGCCCAGGGGATGCACGAGACATTTGTCAACGAGACGAGCGGTGAGTGGACCGGACCTCCGGCGTACCACGGTGGATCGTACGTGTATCCCGCCGAGACTACGGACGCCGAGAGCTGACCTTTCTCTCTCGGGTCAGGCAATATTAAACCGCATACGTCTTCGGCGTCTGATCAAAGGACCGACCTTTCTCGTCGACGTGTTCCTCTCCCTCTCTCTCTTTCCCTGTACGTTCTCTGGTTCACTTGGAGGAGGACGACTCCCACGTAGCCAGAGCAAAGGTAATCCAGAGAGAAGCACGATAACGTGGGCACACGTTCTCCAAGATTGATCCCCGCTCCTGATGGAAACGTATTGTCCTCGCCTCGTTCGCGCGGATGCATTTTTTATCGTTTGCCTGATGTGACGCTGATGGATCCCCGGTGCTACGCGATCGTTGCTCGCTCGGCCAGTACGTCGCGGTATCGTCGGTTCGGGAATCGTGCGAAGTGTCCTCACATTCTGTTTCGAAATCTGAAAATCTGAGAAATTCGAGAGCTTCGGAACCCGAGCATCGCGAAAGTGATTGGAAAGTTCGGGATATTCGGCGGCTATTGAATATTTCTTGGAACAACAGACGGTCGAGTAGATCGGTGATCAGAATCACGAGTCTGCTCGAGTCTACGGGTCGTTCCCCCGCTGCCGTTATATCGTGGATTAACAACGTTACAAGTCGCACATTAATTAACCGGCTCGGACGGCGTGTTTGCGTTTGTAAACTCGGCCGAGTGAGACGCCGGGACGCGGGCCAATATTATTACGAAGATAAACGTACCGACGCTATCTACCATCAAGGGCTTCCTGCCTCTGCCCCCTGACACCCGGCCCTCGGGGAATATTCATCAGGATGAGAACGGAGGAGCATTGTGAACTTCTGCGAGCCGCGTTCAGGAGCGAGGCAGAGGGGATATATACTGAACCGATGACTTTATTTTTCGTATGTCCTAAATCCTACACTTACGTCACTGTCTACCCCCAAACAGTTAATTCTACTATCTCGGGGATCTCGTTTTAATTTCGAGACGCCGCGGTGAAAGTTTGAAAGGGTACATACATCGAGTATTAGCTTTCATTATTTCAGCAGCGAAGAAGGTTGTTCCTCGATAGGGAAATTTTTATAAGCACAAGAGTTAAAGATTGATGGCCGAAGGCGAATGGATTTTAGCTATCGAAATATGATATGTATAATTTATTCGTGACGAAGATGGGGAGTTACACAGATGATCTCCGAGCAAAGGAATTATCGTTCGAGTCTCGATACTCCGTTTCTCTTCGATTAACGAATCAATGTTTAATTCCAAGCGATTCGTCGACAATTATTTCGCATTAACACGCGACAAATTGTAGAGGTAATAATTTATGTACTCGAAAGACCGAACGATAAATTTGGCCGATTAAAACGCTAGCGCGTGATCGTCTCCTCGGCAACGTTGTTACGTTGTAAGAGTTATAGTTTATAGTTTTGCGGAACTATTTATTTGAACAAGAGAACACTTCCACTCCGGAACTTATGGATGTAGAAATATTATAATAACAGTTTGTGCACTTGTTGCAGTGCTAAACTATTTCTGTTGTGCTTGTGATATAAAATCCGATTTCCGAAGAATAAGAAGAAAATCAGAAATGATAAAAATTACTTACTTAGGAACATAATTATAAAATATGAATGTGTGTGAAAACATGAGTAACAAAATTCGTTGTCCTTTATTGTCGTAAGTCAGTTTTAAAACGTTTAGTTAATTTCAAGCTTCAAAAATCATATTTCCTTGTAAGCTACACACAAAATTTCACAGTCACATGAATAAGTTCTTATCTTACAAGGCCAAATATTTTGCTTCATAGTATAAAAAGTATCTCTTAATTTATTCAAACGCAAACCTTCAAGTGACTCTGGCCACTTTCACAATCACCGGCACATATATCCTTTCCTTTTGATTCTTGGTCAAAAATTCCTAACAACGTGGTGGAACCCGATCGACGCGAGTTTGATCGCAAGGTTAAAACTCGCGAGCTACGATTCGGCCGGGAAGAATAATGCGTTCGATCCAGTTTAACCGACGCAATTTCTTCCGGGGGCCGGTGGACGGCGCGCGGTTTAACAAGAGAAATTCGCAGGTTGCTCGTGACAGGGAGTTGGCAGGTTTTCTTGCACGCTCGATAACCCGAAGCCGGCTCTATCCGGTTCCAGCGGCAGAGCCGTATAAGCGCGGAATCGCTGGAACGGAAAGAAGAAAACCCGCGCGGCGGAATCGTGTATACGAATGCCCTGTAATCAAATAAAGGGGAACAATGTTGGCGAACGATGCGAGTCAGCTAGCTCAGCAACGCGATTCCGAACCCGCCCGTTCCTTGTCCCGGACACACCCCCGCCGTAACCGAGCGAACGCTGGTATCCGCGTATCCTGCGACTCACCCCCGTGCACCCTTTTTACCCCCGTCGCTTCGAGACTCGATCGAGGCACGTTTCCCCGATTTGCCCGTAGCTCATAGCTGACGTTCGTGAGCGAGACTGAGAGAAACGAAAAGTCGAAAAGAAAAGAGGCTTCTGAGAGAGCTTCTAG